ACAGGAGTGATGGTGGCAAAGAGGGGTGGCCATAGCACCAATGGAAATAATAGAGATGGCAGTAATGGTGGCAATTGTGGTGACAATAATGGCGATAATTTAACGTGCCGGTTGTGATGGCCATGGTAAGTTCGTGGTGGCATAACATTTTTTTTTCCCTTAAAGTTCTTAACCTTCATTGATGTTCAGATCTAGTATCAGTATTTTACGCCAAATTTGCATTTCTTTTTCTAAACACTTTTTCTTCGATTTTTATTATCTCCTGGTTTGATTCATCCCAATTTACCAAACCTAAGCCTTTTATCTCTTCTTATAATCGCATTGTACTTCCATCTTCCTCCACTGCGTAATTCTATCTCGTTTATTCAGCCAGAGTGCTCGACTTCATTAGTGCTCTCATAGAAAAGACATTTGGAGAAGAAGATTACAAAAGACAAGGGTCGAGACCCAAGTTAGGAGAAATTTTTCGAGATACCGGGAATATAAGGCCATCTCCAACCGATGGCTGGCCAGAGGGCTCATTTTAGCCCTCTGGCCCTCCAAGATTCTCCAAGAAATTAATATTTTAATGAACAGTATAGGGCCATATTTGCTTCCGTCTCTAACTGAGGACCAAAGGGCCAGAGGGCTCGTTTTAGCCCTATCACAAAAAACCGTCTCCAACCAAGGGCCATAGGGCCAAACATAATTTATTATCTAAAAACTACAACTTAAATGTTGTTTAAGTTTCATGTTGTTAAATTTTTTTTTTAACAAATATGAAAAATTTGAAATGTTTTTAATAATTTGTTAAATGTTGTTAAAAACTACAAATTTTGTAAAATAAAAGTTATACGAAAAAAATAGGATTTAAAAAAAAATGAAAAATAGAAGTTATAGGAAAATTTTCATAAATAAAAAATAATAATAAAACTGTAAAAAAAAAAAATTCAAATCAATGCTATCGGTTTTAGGCCATCTCCAATCGATGGCTGGCCAGAGAGCTCATTTTAGCCCTCTGGCCCTCCAAGATTCTCCAAGATATTAATATTTTAATGAACAGTACAGGGCCATATTCGCTTCCGTCTCCAACCGAGGAAATGGTCATAGGGCTCATTTTAGCCCTGTCACGAAAAACCGTCTCCAACCGAGGGTCATAGGGTCATAGGGCTAAACATAATTTATTATTTAAATTTAAAAAATACAAGAACTTAAATTCAAATCCAACAACTTAAACTTAAAAACTACAACGATAACTGATCCAAAAAACCAAAAAAATTAGAACTTAAATTTAATGAATGGTTTAGATATTTATAGGAAAAAAAAAATTAGAATTTTTAATAATTTAAAAAAAAATTGGCCCAAAAAACCAAAAAAAAAAGAATAAATTTGAATACAACGGCTAGCTGACTAGCCGTTGTATTCAATTTTTTTTTTTTAAGCAATCATGTCGGTTATAACCGACAGAAATACTATATTTTCTGGCCAGCCCTCTAGCCCTCTCTGATTCCGTAGGGCCCTCTCAGATTCCACAGCCCTCTGGCCTAGCCCTCGGTTGAAGATGGTTTTCGGGCTATTTTCGGCCCTCTGGCCCTCTGGACCCTTCGGTTGGAGATGGCCTAACCGACAGGATTGATTTGAATTCTGGCCAGCCTCGGGCTGGGTAGCCAGCTCTCTAGCCCTCTCCGATTCCGTGGGGCCCTCTCAGATTCCACAGCCATCTGGCCTAGCCCTCGGTTGTAGATGGTTTTCAGACTATTTTCGACCCTCTAACCCTCTGGACCTTTCAATTGGAGATGACCTAAGCTGATTTGGAGTTCCAAACCAATAGGGCCTTGACACCTGCATATTTTACTTTAAAAACTTGAAAAGATTGACAAGTTTCTATTTATTTTATATTTTTATTAACAAGCAGACTTTTTGTCAATTGAATTCCAAATTTACCCCTACATTAATGTTCTCCACTACCCTTCCACGCCAAACACCCGCCAGACCAGCAACCGTCCACCTTAATCGCCGCCATGTGGCCCAGCCGGCAACACCCAATCTCTTCTCTCTCTTCCTCTTTTTCAGTCTCTGCTTCCCTCTCTTTCTCGCTCACTCTTATTCCAAAATGGAACCTGAAGGGATGTCGGTGTCACTTCAGATCTGTTGTTGCCGACCTCCGATTTAAGGGCTTATTAGATCGCCAGAATCCCATCGGTTATTCATATTCATATTTCTTTAATTAATTTCATTTTTTTGCTTTATTTGATTGATGTAAGAAAATGGTTTTAAAGAAGAAATCGATGGTATTGCAAGATTGACGTTTTCGTGAGATGAATGGTGGCAATGGCAGTCGGTGCGGTGGGTGATTTGGGGAATTGGAACAGTTGGTTATTTGTTTCTTATTTTTACAAAAGAATTATTTTTTAAGTTGTTTAACTGCTATTTTACAGCTGTCAATAAATGATTAGTGGAGAACATCACCTGTCTTGCTTTGGTGTATGTTCCGGTCACTTAGAAAAATTTCTCCCAAGTTAGATGCCCTATAAACGCTCAATTAAAAATGTATAAACGCATAATTAAGAGACTTTTAATAACCATTTCTTTTTTCAATTTTTGCTATCACTTTTGAAAACTAAAAACTGAAATTTTGTTTGCTCAAATTCATACTAAAAAGTGAAAACTAAAAACCAAAAACTGAAAACGAAATGGTTATATTTTGAAATTCACTAGTTTAGGAGAAAGAAATTTTAACCTAACTAGAGTTATATTTGTTGTAAAATGAAAACAAATGTAATTTTGTATTTTCATAGTTTGAGAATGTGTTTGGTAATTTAATTCAAGAGTGATTTTTTGAGAAAGAAGATATTGAAAATGCATCTGCTAATGGTGGAAGCATTGGCGGTGTGTGATTGTGGCAAGGGTGGTGCTAGTAATAATAGTGGTTGGGGGGTGGCAGTGGTAGTAGTGACAATGGCAGTTGTGATGATTGTGGGATATGGGTGATGGCAATAACAGGGTAGGGATGGGGCAATGGTGGGGGATGGTGACAGTGTAGATGGTGATGGTAGCGGGGAGTGGTGGTGACAGCAGCGGGGACAATGGTGGTAAAGAGTGGTAATGGCAATGGTAGTTGGAAGGCGACAAGAGTGATGGTGGCAAAAAGGGGTGGCCATAGCACCAGTGGAAATCATAGAGGTGGCAGTAGTGGTTGCAATTGTGGTGACAATAGTGACGATAATTTAACGTGCCAGTTGTGATGACCATGGTAATTTGGTGGTGGCATAACATTTTTTCCCTTAAAGCTCTTAACCTTCATTGATGTTCAGAGTATTAGTCTTTTAGGCCATATTTGCATTTCTTTTTCTAAACACTTTTTCTTTGATTTTTATTATCTCCTGGTTTGATTCGTCCCAATTTACCAAAACTAAGCCTTTTATCTCTTCTTATAACCGCATTGTACTTCTATCTTCCTCCACTGCGTAATTCTCTCTCGTTTATTTAGCTAGAGTGCTTGACTTCATTAGTGCTATCACAAAAAAGACATGGAGAAGAAGATTACAGAAGGCGAGGGCTGAGACTTGAGTTAGATGCCCTATAAGTGATCAATTAAAAATGTATAAACGCATAATTAAGGGGCTGTTTAATAACCATTTCTTTTTTCAATTTTTGCTATCACTTTTGAAAACTAAAAACTGAAATCTTGTTTGCTCAAATTCAAACTAAAAAGTGAAAACCAAAACCCAAAACCAAAAACCAAAAATAAAAAACGAAATGGTTATATTTTGAAATTCACTAGCTTAGAAGAAAGAAATTTTAACCTAACTAGAGTTATATTTTTTTTTTTTAAATGAAAACAAATGTAATTTTGTATTTTCATAGTTTGAGAATGTGTTTGGTAATTTAATTCAAGAGTGATTTTTTGAGAAAGAAAATATTGAAAATGTATCTGCTAATGGTGGAAGCAGTGGTGGTGTGTGATTGTGGCAATGGTAGTAGTGACAATGGTAGTGGTGATGATGGTAGGATATGGGTGGTGGCAATAACAGGGTAGGGACGGGGCAATGGTGGTAGGATGGTGATGGTAGCGAGGTGTGGTGGTGGCAGCAACAGGGACAATGGTTGTTAAGAGTGGTAACGGCAATGGTAGTTGGAAGGTAGCTGGAGTGATGGTGGCAAAGAGGGGCGGTCATAGCACTAGTGGAAATAATAGAGGTGGCAGTAGTGGTGGCAATGGTGGTGAGGGTAGTAAGAGTTTAACGTGCTGATTGTGATGATAATAGTAAGTTGGTGATGGCATACATGATTTTTTTTTCACTTAGAACTCTTAGCTTTCATCGATGTTCAAATCTAGAATCAAACTTTGCCACATTTGCGTTTCTTTTTCTAAGCACATTTTCTTTGATTTTTATTATCTTGGTTTGATTCGTCGGAATTTACCCAACCTAAGCCTTTTATCTCTTCTTTTAATCGCGTTGTACTTCCATCTTCCTCCACTGCGTAACTCGATCTGCTTTATTCGCCTAGAGTGCTTGATTTCATTAGTGCAATCATAGAGAGAACACTTGGAGGAGAAGACTAGAAAAGACGAGGGCCGATACCCAAGTTCAATGCCCTATCAGCGCTCAATTAATTAAAAATGTATAAACGCATAATTAAAAAGCTATTTAATAACCATTTCGTTTTCAATTTTTGCTATCGCTTTTGAAAACTGAAAACTGAAATCTTGTCTGCTCAATAAATTCAAACTGAAAAGTGAAAACTAAAAACCAAAACCAGAAGCTAAAAACTGAAAACAAAGTGGTAATCAAAATGTCTCCTCAATAAATAACCCTGCCTAAACCTAGAACCAACCTTGAAACTCATGTTGGATCGACTTAAACTTGGATCACCGCCACTGGCACAGGTACAACGCCCCCGTCAATGACGTGTAAATTTATCTTCACATGGCGTTGTATCATTTGCACGAAACATTGGGGCTATAATTTGAGCAAAATAGTAACGTCACATAACTTGGGTAACTATGGACTTCAACGTGCCTAATGCAACCAACATATAAATAGTAGACATAAGTAAACCAGTTTACAAATCAAGATTTCTGTTTAAGAGTACCATCCTATACTCAATCACTCTGCCAAGTTACGGATCCATTGTCCATATTTAATACATATTAACTATAAGTGTGAATGCGACTACCCTTACGAAACAAACAAGGGTATGACGTTAATTTCCCACTCGACATACCATCTTCGGGCGTCAACTCTTAAAGGTAAGCCCAAGCAGAGATAAATATGATATGCAAATATGAACGTATCCTAGAATATGAAAGGTTAAAACTTCGACAAAGGTCAAACTACACGCTATGCAAAATAAACTCACTGTTGCTAATTGGTTAGATTGTGCTCCTGCAGGAAGGCATCATAAAGCTGAGTTACTCATCCTAGTGGCCGCCGTGCTGTTCTGTTTGTGCATTCTGTTTGGTGTCATTGCTCAAATGTGGTTCACTTCTGGCAGACCGTATATCTTCGCAACCAGGAATTTCTCCAAGCCTCTCCTGTAGAAAGAAAGTAGCATATCCAGTTTAACATGGTACATCCCTAATCAAAATTACATTTCCATTAAAGTTCCCACGAAGACAAAGATGTCTGCAGTCTGGATCCACAAATTGTTATGGGAAACGAAAAACTAGGGTCTGGATCAAAGTGATAGTACACCACTTATCCCAAACCAATGAACCATGCAGTTAGGCTTATCTAATATACTATGTACGTTGCATTATAAGGAGTTAGAATGTGGCAAGACATTTTAAATATTACCCAAGAGTTTATGTGAAAACTGGAAAATCTGTATCGGATTGAATTGTTACTTGCTATACAGCCACTCAAATAGGGTAAATGCAAAACGTGAAGGATCTATCAAGATCACCAATGTTAGCTTACTATGTTTTGGATCAAAGCAATCCTATATCAAGGTTTGCTAGAACAGTTTCTAGTAAGTAATTTGGGATTTTTTTGATGCAAAACAAGTAATTCCAAGAAAATTTATAATGAAATTTTAACAGATCCTTCAAGGCAGGATGGGATCAATTAGCCGGTTATTGAATCTCTTTTTTCTTTATAAAAATAGGTACTAAACAAACCAAGTGCAAACATTACCTTTAGAGAAGCATTCTCTGAGAGAAGCTGCTCATACTCGCTCCTGATCCGGTTAACTTCTGATCTTAGAGTGTTATTTTCTTCTTTTAAGACGTCAGCACGCTGGGCCAGCTCATCACATTCCGCCTAATTTAAAATCATGCATATACATCAGATGAGTTCATATGGTACATACAGTGCCAAGTTGCAGGAGAAAATTAACAGATGCAAATAATCACCTGCTTGCGCAACCTAGATCGACGAGCGGATTCCCTATTTGACTGCTTTCTTCGCTGTCTTTTCATCTCTCTCTCATCCTGAGTCGGAAAAACTAGAGGTGAGGGTGCTTAAAGCAATACTTTGTGACACTCCACTAAGGACATTGATATTAAACACATATACCACAAAATTTAGCCACCAAAAGGAAATCATTCACTCAAAAACACGTACAAGTTCACAGGAAACCATTGGAAACGTTTACCATGCTAGTAATCAATCATAATATCAATGATACATCGTACATGACACTTTCAACTCAAGTATGTAATCCTCCTGCGCAACGAATTGGAGTCTAGATGCTCTATGGGATAGGAATTCTGTAGGTCAACAAAAATGACCAAGCTGCAAAATAAATGAGGAAGAAGAAGAACAAAAAGGTTGATATGGTGCGAATGATGTTGGTTCCACACATCCAACTTTCAAGGGCAATGTATGGCTACCTAAGGGTTTCTCGGTAATGTACTATAATGGGATTGATAATATTAGGACAGACCAGTTTTGTTAGACTTTTATGCTTAGGCATTTTTGTAGTTTATGTATCAGAAGTTTTTCGCTTCTTTTTTTTTTTTGTAATACTTCATACTAGCATGTGGTTGGATTTTAAAAGTAGTCCAGTTAGGAACCAATATTATTTCTTCTTTGGGTTTTAAATAGTTACTCTATTTCGCAAATTCTCGTTTCAGACATGTTTTTTTTCCAAGGATTCAATCAGATCCCTTTGGTGTTTGCAGCGTCCCAACTGTTCTCTGGACCTATATTTCCTATTTGTTACCTTGTGCCACAATGACTCCCTTTCCAGAGGAAATCAGAAAAAGCCATTTAATCAAGCAGCACCTTATTCTTGAACAAAAAATTTCCCACACCCATCCCTCCGCTGTACTCACCAATTCCCAATCCAACTTAAAAGTCATATTCAACAAACTCTGACACAACTGAACATCATAATCTAATATAGAAAATAACTAAAACAGTGTTCTTCAATTACTACTTCCCAGCCCAGAATAGGAACAAGTATTTGCAGCCCATTAATGAGCTTTCAATCCTTTAATTTAGTACTTACCAACCATAAACCTTAAAATTAGACCCTAGCATTCACCCCTCCAACTTTTGGCAACAACCCAAAACAAGGGTGATTCTACATCATGTATCTGTGGAGAAACTTATGAAGGACAGCAACCTTGCAACATGCAATTAACAAGTACAGTGCCTCTTGACAAAACCACATATGGGCATGCCCTTGTTCAGAGCATCCATCTCTATTTATCTCAAAGATGTATGAAGTAAGGATTTCCCTAAGAATATCACCTACATATGGAGTACGTGTGTTTTATCTGTAGGTATAGCCACAAAACAAGTATAGTATAATACTGAATCATAATCCAGGTAAAAGCAATCAGATTAAAGCAAGTAGTTGACAAAATAAACATGTGGACTCGCAATCACAACTAGTGGACTGCTAACCTTAACATGGTTCATGTTAACTTGTAATAATAGAGGTCACAGCAATGCAGATGACAAGAAAGCCGGTATGCAATTTCAAATAAGCATGGAAATCAGAATAAGTGAGGAGAAACAATTCATGCACATATCCTAGATGGTTATTGCTTTCTTCGGCACATATCCTAGATGGTTATTGCTTTCTTCAAAAGCGACAAAAAAATCGTTTTACCCATGAATTATAAACTCAATTGACTTACCTACACCATGTTTTCATGTTGTTCCTCCATCTACTGTATTACAACCACAGAATATAACTGTTTCAAAATTCTATTAAGCTAAATGCTAAGAAAGCATGCACAAATACCAATTTTCACATGGAATGCAAGTTGTGCAACTTAAAAATGTAACCATCACCTTGCATTCTCAAAGTTAATCTTCTTCCTCATTTTAATAAGATCTATAAACTATATCTTAATGCAAAATAGACTAACTAAGAGCAGGAGAAAAAACATGATAAGAAGAAAAGAAAATTGAATTTGAAACATGGGAACAAAGATTACTTGTAACCGAATCTGTGACTGAACACTATCCCGAGACCCAGCAGTAACTATTCCTGCTGATACTGGGGTAGTTGGAATCTTCCCATGCATTGCAGGCATGGCAGCAGAAGGTGGAGCACCCCAATAGTCCATCCCAATATTTAAGTTTGTTGCAGGACCAGGAACAGCACCAGGAGCACCAGCAGCTGTTATTGGCATGATGGCCATTGCTTGATTCAACATGGTATGCGGTGCTCCATTCTGAGAACCATGTGCTGAACTGCCATTCTGAGATACATCACCTGCAATAAGGCCATACAATCCTTAGTAAAATCTCTTAGTAAAGATTAACAGCCTCAGAAAATAATATAATCAAACCTTCCAAAGAATCTTGCCTGCCCCCTGACTTCAATTGGGAGTCCTACACAAGCAATGAAAATAGGATGGAAAACGGAAGCAGCTCGCAAAAATTAAATTTTACAAAAAAAAATGACAAGGAAGAAAAAAAATCCAAGAGCCATTCAATAGGGGTATAAACCATTCAAGAAGAAATATAAAGATTCCTCGAACAGACCAAACTTCCGTTACAAGCAATGCAACATTGACACCAAGCCTCCTACTTACAATAGGCTCGATATAAACAACCTGGGGGTCAGTTTATCTGGCCCAAATAAAATAAACCAAATAATCAACTTCAACAGCATGGAACTTACACTCTGAGAATTTGCATCACTTCCTTCACTTGTACCATCACTAGCACTCTCAGCACTGCATTTCCAAAGTATATTTCAAGCACTACCAAAATTAACATGTGAAAACATGATCCAACAATAAGAGATCCAAGAGAAAACAGCATATGAGTCCTACACATCTCTAACCTAGATTTGATTTCATAATAAGGATCCAATCAGTACTACACATTATAAGCTACGTGAGCATCTATGCAAACATGATTTCCTAGCACAAAATTATGATCAACAAGTTAATGAGCTTCATGATCACTTTCATATGACTTTTATTGGCTGAAAGATCAATGATTGGAACAGAAAAGATACACAAAGCTTATCATATAGATGGCTTTGATCTCCCTATCTTTTTCCCTTTCGATCCAGTGTTTTAAATCCAAATATTTCAGTAAGGGGGCAGCTGGAATCCCTGATACAAAAGGCTAAAAGGCACTAAACATGATCAGTTACCTTTTGGAATAAACTCCATTAGCAGAGGCTCCTGATGTTTTGCCAAGCTCGTTATTCTTCCCTGTAATCATATTCAAACTGCCCAAGCTTCCCTTTGATCGTTTTATTGGTAATTTTTCCTTTACCTCAGATGGCTTACCATCTGCTTCCATGCTTCCAGGTGTGTTACCCTAAATCAAATTTTATAAATTATATCTGATCTGCTCAAATGGAAAATACCTTATCTTAAACAACAAATGGTATAGCGATAGAAACTTACAGAAGCCTCTACAATGCCATTTGGAGTAGGCATAGCAAACGGGCTAAAAGGATAGGATCCCTGTTTAAAATTAAAGCAAGGCATAAAAAGTTAGTGCCATCCAGAAAATGAGGCTAGAGAGAAATGTGGTACTTCAGCTGAAGCAAAACAGACAAAAACTTACAGGAGGCATAGACGGGTGAGCATATAACCCGCCATGGGGATACATTGCAACATATGGGTGTGGAGGGGTACCATATGGTGGCATAATATGCTGAAAATTAGACATTGTTAATAGAAGTATACCAGGTACCAGCCCGTTTGCAAGTTTGAAGCATCAAAAGAATAAATCTAGTCGCATTTTCATCAGTATTTTCAATAACATACCCACTGCCTTTTGTAACCTCAGAGAAAACAAAAATCAAAATAGTAGACTGTTTGGAAATAGGAGAAAAAAAAAGCAAGTCACTTCATTTTTTTGTGTTTGTTGTTTTTGCTTTAGAAAGAGAAAAGTAATTTACTTCATCAAACTAAAGAAAAATCCTTTCTAAGTTTAATTCTACAGGAATCCATGGTTAAAAAGACAATCATTACAGAGAAAAAGACTCCTACGTCTGTATCCCATTCTTGCTAACATGCTCAGTATCCCAGAAACTTGCAAAAAAGCTTAAAGGCAAGATCTTTTAGATGAACCAATGCTGTCTCTCAGTTTATTAACACTTTCCAAATGATTTGTAAAGAAAGAATACATGTTTAGTTAAGTTCCCACTATACAGCCTACAGCTCACAACTCTTAGATGTCCAAAAGCACCGAGTCAAAAATAGCATAAAAGTCAAATGTTTTACAAAGTACCTTCCAAATGTTGAATAATCAGGATTTATTTCGTTGGTCATGAATCAAGAATCAAGATTAAACAAAAATAATAAAGAAGTCTCACAGGCACCAATATACCTGAACCCCCCACATATACGGGTGAGCTTGAGGACTTGAGGCCATGAATCCATGTGGAGGTATTGGAGAATATGCCTGTTGAACAAACAACTACCCACAATAAATTCCAAACATATCTTAAACTAAACAAAAATGCCAAAACCGAGGCTTTTCACTTTGTAACCTGAAATCCCGACCAGTCAGGATTAACAGTGCCAGTACTAGTAGTCGCAGGCTGCTCCTGAAAAGTTCCAAAAAACATTAATGCTCTTTTCTAACTACCAATATGAGAGGCCCTCATCATAACAGAGACAAAAAAAGGACACACAAATGTACCTGCGAAGTAGCAGGTGTTGTCTTCGTCTCCTTCTCTTTCTCTTTAGCAGGTTTGTCCATCTCTCTGCTACCTATTACTCTATATCAACAGTCTTAAGTTCTTCAAACCATTGTACAATCACTACAAGAAAATCACCTAGAGGACACTGTTGGCAACAGCGGCCATTAATGCCTTAGGCCACAGATGTACAGTGCCCAAATGTCAGATAAGGTCATCACATGAAATAAAGCAAGAAATTTCAATCTATTTATCAATCTCATGATGAACATTCAGACTTTTCTTTACATTCAGTTAAAAACATCCAAAATAAGATCTCTAATCATTGAAGCTGAAAGAGGGAAGCTCCAAAGTATACACAATCTATATCATATTCGATGGGGTTTCACCCCTTTCCTGATATTTGGTTGAAAACCAAAGCATCAACATACAACAAAGACTTGCTCATTACCCATTAATCAGCCGATAATTATATCCGGATTACCATGTACCTCTATTCATTCAGGCAACTACAAAGAAATACACAAGGCAGTTAAAGTATGGACTTTTCTTTTCAAGCTAAGCCAGTTTCTAACATCGAATCATGAGTGTATAACAGAGAAACCAAAAACAGATAGCAGGAGTACCAAAATGCCTTTTGTCAGTAGTGGGCATACCAAATTCAAATAAATATAACAGGTAGATCTACTATCAATTTGTCTTACCAAGTCAGTTCTGAACCCAAGCATGAAAGCCGGATATGCTTGTCATACGAAAATAACACGAAAAAGAAAAAAATTGTGTGCCGCGTAACACGATTATAGATATAATAGACATTTACTAAGAGGACTGCACCTACTTTCATATCATTGACATATCAATTACCATTTTTTCATTGTCAAAACCAATCCTTTCCACGTTGGGGCCAAAATGTAAAAAATTGCAGCAAATCCTACACCAATGGACCCAAAACAAGAATCCAAAAATTTTAACAAAAACACAAACCCTAAGATCAATTGAGGAGCAGGGAAATTGATTAATTAGAACCTCATTAATCCCAACCCTAAATTTGAAATTCCATAACCTGAATCCTAATCAACTAAACAGACAGAGCAAAAAATTCAGAAAAATCAGTTTCGATACTTACTCATCACCGTGAGGTGGAAGCAGAGGGAGAGATAGTTGAAGCAATCAGGTGGCGGCAATGGAGCGGAGCTGAAGAAATAATAAGAAGAAATGGAGGTGGAGAAATTGGAATGGAAAAAACAAGAGAGTGGCTGACGGTGGCTGACGGTGGCGGGGCGATGATGGAGGGAGGGAGCTTCTCTTCTCTTCTGTGTTGTTCACTTGTTAAGGCGTCTTCCTCGATTTGAGACTGAAATATTGTTTTTTTTTTTTTGGGGTTCTTCCTCGTTCCTTATTTTTATTTTGCATTTATTTATTTTTTTTCCTGTACAATAATTTTTTAAGGGAATTTCTGTTTCATAACACTTGCCGAGAGTTATTGTAGCTCTTTTGTATGTTATTTAAAAAAAAAAACACTGAAATTACATGCGTTTAAAAGATTAAAATGAAAATAGATACGTAGGCAGTTATTCATTTTGTATGTGAACTAGTTTTGAGTTATTCAGAGTTAGGCACACCTATAATTCGGGCTTAGCCTTACAATGGACTAACAATAATATGATTTGAATTCGCTTATAACAAGAATCAAATCTAAGATCTTTCACTTACAAAAAAAAATATCGTTAAATTATAGTATTAGATGGCAACAAACATGTTTATTAAAACTTAAAATAAAATTTAAAATTTGAATTTAATGCTACTTAGGATAAAAGATGTCCATACATTTTAATTTATTTACAAAACCATGCCAGTAACTTTTGTAGACATTTGGGCCTGATGGCTTGATATCCAGTAAGGAATTAGTAATGAAATTGACCGAAAGATGTGTAGCGGTTCACTCATAATTGAGTTACGTCCACTGTAATAACATTGAAAATTGTTCGGTGTCTTTGTAGGAGTGTTTCGGGATTGACAGTAGCTCTCTTGTATTTCCGGATTATATGATGAACTCTCCCCTTCAAGTTTCCCTTTTCCCCTTATATATAGGTTAGCAAGTACGAATGCCCTTCCATTAGGTCACGACGTCATCATCTGCCTCTACTTTAGATCTGGAGCCCTTCATTTGTTTGTTGCCATTCTCTCTTCTCAACATTTGGACATACTGGACTAGTTTCTTCTATCACATGTCAGGGGGTAGTCGTTGGTAGTGATTTAAGGTCTCGTTTGACAGTTCGTATAAAGAATCAGATATGATAAGTAATACAAACTCGGATATTTGGTGTAGATATGTACTAAATAATACCCGTATTAACACTGGCCCACATCTTTTATACGGTGTATGCCCGCTTATTTATTCTTCCAGAAATTTATGTATTATTAGTCGGGTCTGTGTCCATGTCGTTCTCTCGGTCTCGCTCTCTCGCATCGTTCTGCAAATTCACTCCAGTTGCCATCGTCAATCCCCATGTTCTTCCTCCTCCTTCTCCTTCTCCCTCTCTCCTCACACCCACTCACCAAATCGCTCAGTCGCCAAGCCACAAGCTTCTTCTGAAGCAATGGCTGAAAGAAGAACAGCTAATTCTCAACTGGGTCTCTGTCAAAGAATCCAAATCGACTCGATTCGAAAGGAATTCGCGATGCTCTTCATCTTCTTCTTCCTCTTGCACTCCACGGCCGTCGCCCTTCTCTTCAGTTCCTCGTCGCAGGACCTGCACGGGTTCGCGTGCCGCCGATGTTGGATCCTGTCGCTCTGCTTCTCGTTGGGTATTATTTGGGCGATTAAGTATAAAACCAACACGGAGGGGCTCCTAGAGAAGTTGTTGGAGAAAGAACGAGGATAAGAATCTTCTGGGAAAGTGAATCGAGGAGCTGAAGAAGAAGAAGAAGAAAGGGTTGGAGTTCAATTTGTTAAAGGAGGTCGACGCGCAGGAGCAAATTCGTGCAGAATGTTTTGTTGTGCGATTTGTAATTTGGGAATTTACATTAGCCTAGTAATTTGACTGCTTAAAATCCCAAATAAAAGTATCTTTTTGGTGCGGAGCAAAGGCATTCTCTGCAACTCTTACCGTGAAATACAAAGAGGGTGGTTTTTGTTAACCATTTGATGTCATAATATTTCTTATCCGATTTCGTGACAAAGATATTATAAATAATACGGTCATTAATTCGATATTAAACTAAACATCCGATTAATTTAGTCAATACTATTCAATGATAGATTATTCTATTCGACTGAAATAGTCAGTACAATCCAAGATGTCAAACAAAACCTTAAATGGTGGCTGATCTCGGTCTCGGTTTGTTGCTGCTACTCAGCAGCATGTGTTGAATGTGATGTCGAGCGTAAGTTTTTCCTACAATCCTATCATGGATGTGCACTTAGGTTTTCATTTGTTTTGGGTCAATATGTTGGATATAGGCTTTTGTTACGTTTTATAATAGGCCACTAAAAAAGGGCCATGTGTTAATAATCAGTACAAATGTCATTATAATATCTATTTGCTTTCACTTCCGCCTCACTGTAAGATTTTGAGAATTCACGTAAGATGGAAATGACAAGTATGTAGTTGATGCCTGCCATCACCTGAGTGTTGCCCTGGACAACTGGGCTAGGATCAATAGCGTGGTACCGATATTTTCCTATTCCAACTTATTTATTTATTTTCTTCTTTTTTGTTTTTTTTTCCTTTGAGTTTTGTCTTCATACGTTACTTTATTTTAGTAACAACTAGTAAATTCAATTATCTTTAAATTTAGGTTTTAAATCGTTATTTTCAAGTGTTTAAATATGAATTATAATAGATTTTTCACGGAAAAATAAATTTTGAAGAACATAAATATGATAGTTTGTTGTTATGGTAAGAGAGATAAAAAAATTGAAAAGGGTGATTGGTATGAAGCCAGCGATTGATTTAGGTCCCCTCGCTACCCCACTACTAACTTTTATAGAGTTATCGCTACCTTGCTAGTGACACCTTTCATAGACAATCGGTATCAAATTTCTAATTGCATCATTTTCATTTTAGCTATTTATTTTCTGCTTTTTTCTTTTCCCATTGCATTTTTTTTCCTTCTTACGTTACTTTATTTAGATTCAAATATCAGTAGAATTAGATTTCTATCCTTGTTTTCAAGTATTTTCACATGGATTATAAGAAAATTTTCACTGAAATACATTTTGTAGAACATGAAGATTATAGTTTGGTGTTATAGTAAGGGAAAAAAGAAAATATTAACAAACAAAAAACACATAAAATAAATAATATTGATGGTTTAGAGTTTAGGAGTGTGTGAATAGTAGCAGGCCGTAAAAATAACACCCTGAGTTCGGTGCAATTTAACGCTCGGCACACTTGAATTTTTTTTTCCCTTGTTGCGGTGTAGCAGATTGATTTTTTTAATAAGGGGTTACAATGTTAAAATTGACGACTTTAGATGCACCCAAGAAATATAGAAAAAAAATTATTATGTTAATGAACCATTAGATTTTTTTTGGAAAATATTACAACCCATTAATGTTAAATGTGACGACTTTAGATGCACCCATAACAAAATCCAAATTAATTGAAGAATGATTACAACCCATTATTATTAATAATAAATTATTATTATTATTATTATTATTATTATTATTTAGAAAATATTACAACCCATTAACAAAAAAAATCCAACAATTAATCAAACGTTAGTTGATGAATTTCAGCAAACTTGGAATTATGGCTTTTGCTCTAATGGGGCGCGTCCGTGTGGATAGGTGTAAGGGAGAGTGGCGGAAGGTTGTAATGAGGAACAACAAATTTGGGTTGAGCATAGACAGTGCATAGGAGAGAAAGAAGAGTTGTTGATTTGTTGTTGTTGTTGTTATTATTACTACTACTACTACTACTGTTGTTACTGTTATTATTACTATTTATTGTTATTATTATCATTATTATCATCATTATTATCATTATTATTATTATTATTTTGTTGTTGTTTTATTTTTTGAAAAGAAGCATTGTATTAATTAAATAAACTCATGCAGAGTTAACATATGTCTTGTAGTTGTAGGAGGAGCTCCTCAATGAGAATAGGAGGCTCCTTAATCCAAACGAGATTATTGCTACTAGACAAAACAAACTTAGTAAGATGGTGGGCAACCCCATTACATAAATGAGAGACGTGAATAAATCTCGCCATAGAAAAGGTGGAAGCCAGCTGCAAAACATCCTCCGCGATCATACTTATAGCCGATGAGTCTATATAGGTCCTATTAAGAACTGCAATAACCTTCAGAGAAGTACTTCAGAGAATTACTTTCGACCACGACAATAAATCAAACGCTAGTTGAAGAATTTCAGCGAACCTGGAATGATGGCTTTTGCTCTGATAGGGCGCGTCTGTGTGGATAGCTGTAAGGGAGAGTGGCAGAAGGTTGTAATGAGGAACAATGAATTTGGGTTGAGCAGAGATAGTGCATAAGAGAGAAAGAAGAGGCTTTTATGGTTTTGGGAATTTAAAAGATACAAAGAAAGAGGGTACGTAGGCAGTCTAACACAGAAGTTAGATGCACCCAAGAAATATAGAAAAAAGTTACTACGTTATTGAACTGTTAAGTTGTTTTTTGTCATGACTCGTAAGCAAGGCATGACAGTTGAACAAGGACATGGTGATGTCGCCTGTCAATCGTGGATGTATCTCAAGATCGGGGCATGACAAACAAAGACAATGAAATGCCATACCTTGTTTCAAAAACCACAATATACACCAAATACCTTATAATAATGTGTACAATGGGTCAGGCTAACACAAACACAACTTGTATACGGCCAAATAAACCATTACAGTTACTTCATACATTCGTAACAAATTAATTTAAACAAGATCTTTTAATAGAAGGAATTGAGGAAAATATGGATGGTAATAGGGTGAGGCGAGGTCAAGCGGTGCCACTGTAACAACCCATCCCTAATTTTACAATTTTATTCATTTTAAATGAGTGAATTGACAAAAATGAGGTAAAGTTGTTAACTTTCGTTGACTGTTAGTTCGTGACGCGAACGAGCTATTATTTTACCATATTCTCGAAGTATTCGACGATACGAACGCGTAGATGCAAGTGGAATCGAATTCAGAATTATGACGAAGATTTTACGGAACTACGAATGCAAAAAATACTTTTGTAAAAATTACTAATTTATATTTTATATTTTTATATTATTATTTTAATATTTTTCAATTTGATCTTTTAAATATTTTAATAATTTATTTTTGGCCCGTGGGGCCCACACATCTCAAACTCTCTACTCTCTCCATGTCGCGTGTCCCTCTTCCCTCACTCTCCCGGGCCACTCTTTCTCGTCCCTCTAAACTCTCTAAGCTCTCTTTCTCTCTTTAAAACCCTCTTAGTTATCTCTCTCTAGAACTCTGGACTTTCTCTCCTTCTCGGCAAAATTGGGACCCCCACACCTCTTGCCACTATGGCGAACCCGACCGCACCACCATCTTCACTCCATCGATCGAAGTTAGATCCACGAATCCGACCATACCTCTTGCTCTTTGCACATTGGTACCCTCATTGTTTCAAATTTTGCTCCAGCGAGTTCTCATCGTCTTTGATGAGGTAAGTTCAAAAAACACTCCAAACCTTCATAGATTATGGTTAGGACTACAATTAGGTTGTTTTTGAGACAGTTTGGTGATGTTTGGACACAAAAAAACCACAGGAAAGTATTTCCCCAAATTCTGATAAACCATCCAACACTTTGCAGGCCATTGTATGTGACAAACATAGCTCTATTCTTCACGTAATTATAGTACTAGAGCGTAAATCATTATTACACCCAGTCATGTTCATGTTAGAATACCTCTGCATAAACTCGTGTGTCAGCATATGTTAATGAGCACTCGATATGATATATGTGTCATGCAAGATTATGGGATTATCAGACATTATGTTTTATTTATGAGATATTGTGACGTATTGCATTTTTGAGGTATTGCTAGCTATGGTAGTATTTTCATACTACACACAATATATTATTTTTGGAAACTATACTTATTTTACGGCGAGCGATTATTATATTTTCAAAAAAGGTTTTACAAAGCTTTCTTTTTAGGCCCACACACCCTTATTTTTCGCCCCTCTAGGTTCTAGTGGCAACGTTCGTGTTGACAATGATTTCTGGCAAACGCTGATATCGGAGACTACTTCCGATGGTATAATTCTTATTCTAATTTTACTTTACTTATGCTCTGACATCACGTGTGAAATGGGTTCGTTCCTGCTCACAAGAGCACTCTTACATTTAGGCACTTTTAGGTTTAAATTTATTCACATTTTCACCCTCACTACATTTTATGGCTTCGTCACCTTTCAGGTGTCAGCCAACACAGCTCGATTCGAAGTCCAGGTGGACATTCCGGGTCGGAAGAGCACTCTTACATTTAGGCACTTTTAGGTTTAAATTTATTCACATTTTCACCCTCACTACATTTTATGGCTTCGTCACCTTTCAGGTGTCAGCCAACAAAGCTCGATTTAAAGTCCAGGTGGACATTCTGGGTCGGGGTGTGTCAGCCACCATCCCTACCTCTGTTGATGATTTTTCCCCCATAACCACACTTATAACCATTCTTTGTAAACAACGATTTCCCATTTCTGCCTCCAAACTTGCATCCACCAACCCGCCTATCATGAAAAATTTATCTCTAAATTTTAATTATGCAACACAAATTAATCAATAATCAACTAGCGTAAATTTGTAAACCCAAAAAGCTAATAACAAAGTAACTTTAAAAAAAATTCCATACAATTGCAATAACAAGAAATATATGAGACATTGCACGACCAATAAAGAGAACTTACAAACATAATTGATAAGAATTGTATTAATAATTTAATATACGTTTATAATCGAGCAGGCATCAAGTCAGGGGATGGCAATTACCATCATTGCTCTATATCTGACTCGGGTTTTTAAAATAATCCCCAAATCAGCCCTATAATTGTTTATTGTCCTCTATAAGAGTAGTTCCACCGTGGTGGAGACCCCCTAGGGCTATCTATTGTGCTATCCATTTAGTGAACAGTAACTGCCCTTAATAAACAGTAATCGCCTTTTGCATCTCCATCTCTAAACTAAATAGCCCTAGCAATTGGTAATAAAATATTACTATTTTTTATTTATAAAATAATACAAAATAATTTTATGTCGTTGGTAAGAGTACACACTAATTCCGCACCTATCCATAACCACCTACTCGGAGTCTCCACTGATTATGGCCAATATTCTGTTGCCGGCGCCATTTTTAATTCCAATCTCCGTTTACCTCTCTGTCCTCCATTCTCTTTCCTCGTCCTCCTTTTCGGTCTCTCCTGTTTGTTTCTCCATCTCCCACCAGATCCACCACTCCCTCATATTATCCCCCTCCCCCATTTCTGTCTCCTCAATCACCCACCCAAACCTCTCATCTCTCTCTCTAAAAACCACAACTTTTTTCTTCCTCTCTCTCTAGAAACCACAACCTCCAAATTTCTTCATTTCCATCCATCTATATCTCTGAAAAAACAGAAAATAAAAGAGAAGATGACAGAGATCCATATCTCGATTGTTCAAAATTTGAATGAAAAAAATGGCGCAGAGAGCGGAGAAGGAAGAGACGGAGTTCAAGGTCCCTAAAACGCTAACGCACTGCGTCAACAAATGCGGCGTCACCGGCAATCCCTCCAACAACAACATGTGCCAGAAGGCTTTAACGTTGCATCAACCGCCGCCATCGCCACTTCGTCGTCGTCGTCAACGGCGATTGTTTGAGACAAAATAGAGGAGGATGAAGAAACAAACAGAGACAAAGAAAGAGGAGATGGAAGGATGCCAACGTCGGTGAGAAGATCGGAAGTGGTGGCGTCAAGGCCGGTGGGTGCCTTAATAATGTGGCTCACGTCACCCTGACGTCAGCCCACATCAGACAGCCTTCTGGCGCTCGGGCCGGCACAAATCCATGGGCCTCTCCCTCTGGCCTACTCGGGCTCGCTCGCCAGCACACGTTGGGCTTCATCACTCGGGCATTCAAGCCCTGTTCCTCAACCTGTCCCTCAGGCTGGAGCTCCCGCTGGAGCTGCTTTAAGCGCCTTACTAGGGTCGGGTATTCGCAGATACCCAAACCCATGGAGTTTTTTTTGCCATCCTTAGAGGGAAAATTTACTAAAAGTATGGCTTCAAAACCATCAATGCACCATTAGCACAAATCAAATTTTATTTTCCCGAAATTCAAAGGGACGAATTACGTTTGGCTAATTACTTGGTAGTGCACTCGGGTAGGCTAACCATAAGAGCTAGATCAAGCCATAGAACATAAAAAATACTTTTTTTTTTTTTTTTTTCACGATTGGTATTTCGAAATGATTAGATTACTATACACTGCAGTTCTTCAAAATTGCTCTTTCCTACCAATAATATTTGCAAGTGGTTGAATTGCTAAATATTATAAGCTCTGAAAAAACATAGAGGAAAGAAATTCATCGTTTGCATGGGCAAAGTCATTTTTACGCATGAATTTATCGGTTTAGCAATAAATTTTTACAAGAAAAAAATTTATTAATATTGACTTCCCAAAGACAAAAAATCAAATAAAGGCCGATTAGAGTGAGAATTATCTTTTCTTAAATCTTCATGTTGAAAGTAGCCTAATTGTTGGGGCTGTGCCAAGTCAATTTGGTAATATTGGGTATTGTGTACCTATTTGGTAAGACCGTTGTATATCTCATTAATGTTAGTATGATCTCGTGTTACGCGTGTCGGACATATAGTGGATATAACGTGATATAAGAAGATATCCCTTTAAGCTACTTGAAGTTGCATTATGGTGACTATTAATGCATGTGATTTGACATTTGTCCATATGTCATAAATCTTGATTTGACATTTGTCCATATGTCAAAATCTTGATCGAGATATGAATTATAAAAGAACCGAATTGCATTATAACTACAATAATTGTTTGAAAGAGTATCATGAGATAAAAATGTTTATTTACTAGGAAGCTTTAAGATTCTCACTGATTCAGTAATTTCAACTCAGACATCGAATAATCCTTAGCTAACAACGTGTCTATTCATCTCTTTATTGCAGGAACGCCGACGTAATTCTACTTTTGCCTGAAATTCATTCTTGAAACTAAATGTTTATTATTATTTTTTCAATACGATCGACTAGAGAAAAAGAGCCATTTCTAATATGAGTAATGCGTAGTCCAAATTCATAAAAGGAAAACTAATGAAAAATGGTTTGAAAACTTTGAGTTTTAAAGGTAAATACAAAATAGAAGGTAAAGTTAATAGTACCAGGATTGACTTTTTAGTGTAAAAATATGATTTGTTTGTTAAAGTAAACAGTTCCGGAGCTTTTTGTTAAAATTCTCATTTATAAATTGTCCAATGCCTAACCAATAAAAATTAAACACATTAATCTAAATTACATATTAATGGAATATTGTTTCTTAACCAAGACGCTAGAAAATTAGTGACGTGCGGGCATATGATTAGTTAGTAGTTAAAATAAACCAATTTACAAAACGGTAACAAGAAGCAAACGAGTGAAACGACACCACAGCCACTTTCGGGTTGCCCCCAATCCACCCTGCGAGAAAAGCCACGTGTCGAGATAGCTTCCGCTGGTGTCACTCTCTTCCCCCAATCCAAAACCGCCGTCACCATTCTCCCACTATTGGCGTTGGAAAGCACGTGATCGTAGCCTTTGCGTGCACCGTCCACTCCCTCACTCTGCAGAAAACCAAAACTCACAGATCGATCGATCATATCCTCCGACTCTCTCTCTCTCTCTCACTATGTTTACTCTCTCTGCGACGCCATCCACGGCATTCCTCACGCCTAGGATTTCGCCGTCGTCTCTTTCCTCCTCGGCCTCCGCTGCTTACTCTCCGTCACTGTTGTCTTCTTCTCGGCTGTGCTTGGTCTCTCTGAGGTGGCGGAGCTCCGCCTGTCCTTGCTTGTTTTCCACCTTGAAGGTGACTGCCATGGCGGAGCTGGTGAAGGACACTGAGTCGGCTTCTTTGTCGCCCATTCAGTGTGCAGAGAGGAGGGAGACTAACCATTCTCGCACCTTTCTCAATGCGACCACTGAACAAGGTCTGAGCTCTTCGCCATTTTCTTTGTTTGGTTCCTCAGAAAATGCAAGAAAGCTAGTAGTTTTTTTTCTTGGATTGAAATTTTGCCTTTCTTGAATTGAAATTGGTCCTCAATCTTATTTTCGTGGCCGACTTAAATTTCTATGGTGAGAGCTCGTCGCGTTTTGTCTGTTTGGCTCCTCAGAAAATGCAAGAAAGTGAATGCTCATACATTTTTTTCTTGGAGTTGAAATGTTGCCTTTCTTGATTTTAAATGAAATTGTTTCTCAATTTTAATTTTGTGGCCGATTTAAATTTCTATTTGATACTTGCTTGAATCTTGATGTTCACGTTGCATTTTCCTTTTAAATTTGCTCCAAAGAGCGGAGTCTTTCAGTTATTTGTCAAAAGAATTTTCTTCTCTAAACTTGGAAGTGATGAAAGTTTCAAATACAGAAGCCCTAGCACTGCCCAATACTTGGCCTTTTCTCACACCTACTCCACGTCCAACCCCCTAGTATTTTCAAATATCCGTCGATTTCTTTGTAACCAACCCTATCGTTAAATGAGTGGAATGTCATGATAACTTGTTTTCAATTTGAAGGAAATGTTGACAAAAAAGTTCCTATTTATGTTAAGGAAACCGATTCTTGTTGGGCATGTATTCTTTCATAAGGATATACAGTGTTTGTTTTTCAATCCTTAAAATTATATGGTTTTTACTGGCTAGCATTAGCACCCGATATAGAATGCGATATAAAAAGGTTTAGATACGTTATTTGGGTTTATGAAGTATACAAATTAGATACCCATCTTTTTGTACAATACTATTGGGCCTCAGTCTGTAATCGTAGCACTATGTACTAGGGCATGATACTGTAGCCAGGGGTTGGTTATGAGACTTGTATCTGTATATATTAGTGGTTGTAGTTATGTATGGTGCTGTAGACCAGAATGATCACACGGACAAAATGATCACATGGATGGAAGGTATTTTATGGGATATAGTTGTAGTTATGTAAGGTTATAACTTCTGAGTAATGCTTTCCCCAAATGTATACGCATATAAAGTATATTTTGAATTATGTTTTTAAGCCTTCTCTAAAGATATTATGTTCTAAGGAAAACCGCTGTGTCTTGAAATGAGTAAAAAATTATTAACAAAATTGTCCATTTTCGAAAAGCAACCCACCTAGTGTATTCAAAGAACAAACAAAAACAGAGAACAAATGAAGAACAGTGAAAGTTATGACAAGTCAATAGAATCTGATTATGAACCTAAAAGTACGTCATACTTTGCATACCTTATTTCCTTATACAAATTTATTAAAAAGTAGTGGTTTCATTAAGTGTGAGTTGTCAACACGTCGAAGTTGTTCAATGGTTATTGCTCCTTGTTTTTGTGTTATTCACCTTTTCTGTATTTTTTTTTTATAGATTGTACACGTCATATCCATTGTTCCGAGTATGTGCCTGTGGAAGCCAGATTTTTTTTAGACTAGATATCATGATAAGATCTACTTACTCAACAGCTTCATCCGTTCCAAGTCCATGGTAGGTAGATACCCATCAATCCATGCTACCATAACGAAATGGGTTCAGTAACAATATAAATTTCGAATGATTCAAGAATCGTGCAAAAAGGACTTGAAACTGAACATGGATGCATCAAATGGTTGGCTTTCTCATCATGGGATTGCGTTTCATGTAGGTACAATTTTTGCAGGGTATGCATTATTCACTTTTGATAAGCTACATTAAGAGCACTTTTGGCTTGGTTTAGAAAGGATTTTCGCTGAAAGACCTGTCTAGTGGCCGTACCTTATTGTTGTTCACACCCATCGTAAAATTCCTATATTTATTCCCCACCATGCAAATCAAAAGAGAAACAACAAATAAAAGGAAAGACAGATTACCATTAATCAAAACATAGATTAAATAGACAGAATATGGCACATGGTGACGGATAGGACCACATGAACTAAAAAAGGGTTGGAGGACTAAATTGTAACTGTGGACAAGTTCAGGGACCATTGCTCATAACCCTTATTATTATGATCGCCAAAAGTTGGGCTTCTTGCTTCAAATATTTGGAGCAGAGGTTTGTAGTATATGCAAGCTTCAAATGTTGTTCAAATTCATAGCTATTTGATTGGCTTGTTCGACATCTGAACCCTGTGGTTGGATAGTATTTGATTGGCGTGCGACCATCAAGATACAGTCTAACTCCTAATAGCCAAGAATGTCCTCAAATTTACAGTGCAGTATCACTGGGACGAGGGTCCCAACTGACTCATTTTCTCTCTTTTTCTTTCTTCCACTCCCCTCATTATTTTTACTAACCGTTTTGTAAGCATAACCTCCGATGTCATTGATTGCATGCTCTGATATGTAATTCAAATGTTCTGTGTCTTCTTATTCAGGTTCCTTGAAGGTTATATTTTTGTTTTTCTTACTTGTATCCTTGTTTTGTAGTTAAATAATTCATCTATATTGTTTTACATTTCCATTGAACATAAACTTAAAAATCTTTGTCAACACTGGAAAGAAATTGCCACTAGATCTAGAGCTAGTTTGTCATTAACTGCAGCTTTCTTAATGAAAAAAAAAAAATCTCCTTTCTTAAGCAGCTTTTCTTTACTTTATTAATGTTCTCCTGTTTATTGATGCTAGTTTTCTCGACTTGTTTGAAATGTTCATCTGTAGAGCTGCTGTCTGCAATAAGGAAGGAAACAGAAGCTGGCAGGCTTCCCTCAACTGTTGCTTCAGGAATGGAAGACTTATATCAGAATTACAAAAATGCTGTAAAATTCTTAATCTTGTATTTTACTGTACATAGTTAGATCTGCTTCTGATATTTAATTTTGAATTTACTTGATATCCGTAAACATTTTGGTTCGAGTCTCATGTGAAAGCAATTTGTGTACATGCGTGCATCTGTAAATTTAATTTATTTTAACAGTTTTGGCATTCAAAATTGCCAAACGAAGAAGCTTTAGGATTTTCTTCTCAAAATAGAAGAGATTTTAGTATATACTGCTGTAGCCATATTATTTAGAGACGACAAAACTGGCGATAAAATTTCATAAATTCATACAATTTTAAACTTCCTGTTCCTTATGAACTAGGAATATCTTTCAACTTGCTAAATATATTGTTAATTACATATATCCTATGCTTGGCTTTGCTGATGAGTAGGAATTAGAATTCTTTGAGATAGATATTTTGTGGCTCAAGGCCTACATTTTTACTAGAAATATTGATACTAATTGAGTAGGACCGAATCTTTAGTTACAACTACTTAACGTGACCATGGTACTTACAAATTGTGAGTAACTAAAACAATAACAAAAAGTCAATCACAAGCTAGCACGCGATTAATGTGCCTTAGCACACGATTAATGTGCCTTAGTTTTATCAGAAATCTGAACCATTTACATGTTGTACTTACACGATCAAATAGCCACAATGTGGCCATTGTGTATGGATCTAGAACTTGTTTCATGGTTATTTTATTACAAGCTTCCATAATAATCACTGTAAACTTTCTTAAGTTTGAAGCTTATCTTTGTTATGCTTCATTGGTTAACTCATTGTGTATGGATCCTTTTTAACTAAAGTGAACTTTATATATATATATACACACATACTAGTGTGTGTGTGGATCTACACACACACACACACACACACACACACACACATATACACACATGTAGATGCCAATTTTAGGGAGGTGCCCTTTTTTTCCTTAATTAGCGGACATGGAATAATGTGTTCGTTAAATGTCAATAATCTGGCAGTAATGTGTGGCTGTAATTATATGGGTAGCTTCAAAGTGAACTTTATATATATATATATATATATATATATATATATATATACATACATACATACTAGTGTGCATGTGGATCTACACACACACACACACACACGTAGATGCCAATTTTAGGGAGGTGCCCTTTTTTTCCTTAATTAGCGGACATGGAATAATGTGTTCGTTAAATGTCAATAATCTGTCAGTAATGTGTGGCTGTAATTATATGGGTAGCTTCAGGAGAGTGAGATCAGTCTGCTTTAATTATTCAAGCACATGCCAATCGGCTTTGATTTTCTAGTGTTTTTGTATATCTGGATTTGATATTCTGTATAGAGGTTTGAGGACTTGTTGTTCAATTATTAGATCGTATATGGATGGCTTGTATGCGTTAGATGTCCCAGAAGTCATTAAATCTAAAGTGATAAGAAACTCCTTTTCTTTTTTTTCATAATCCTATGCTATCATTATTCAGATTCTTCAAAGCGGAAATCCCAAGGCAGATGAGATTGTGTTGTCAAATATGACTGCTGTGTTGGATCGTGTATTCTTGGATATAGAGGTAATACTGGGTTTTATATGCGTTATCATACAGTTGCCTTAGTTGCTGATGTGTGTATAACACAGATAGGAAACCAAATTATCGTTTATTTTCTTGTATACTTGTTTTATTTTATTTATTTTTTTGTCTATATGATAGATCAATAATTTTTCAGGACCCATTTATCTTCTCACCATATCACAAAGCAATGCGAGAGCCTTTTGATTACTACATGTTTGGTCAAAACTATATTCGTCCTTTAGTTGATTTCAGGTATCTTGACGACCTCTATCCTTTTTACCATCTTCATCAGCTACTTTGATGTATATAAACTGAAAGATGATGCATTTATTCTTGTTGTCTATTTTTGCTAAAAATGAATGTACGCACTATGCATTATTTCATGAAGTTCATTGGAGCCTTAAAATTGACTGGGTCATGGGTGATTTGTCCATCCAACGTGCTTTCATTGGATCATTCAGCATGAGATTAAAATCATTTATTTTGATTTATACGAGAATTTCTTTTATAGAATAGTTGTATTGGGAATTTTAAATATTCTGATTTTTAATCGTCGATACAAAAATGTAAAGATCAATTTAATTTTGATGTGTCTTCATTTCTTTGCCCTTTTCTGACTTGTTTAATGAAGTAAATATAAAATGGAATTTATAACCATTCGTTTTGTAGTTCTTTTGCTGAATTCTTTACTGAATTTTGAAATAAATCTACACTACAGCATTATTATGGACTAGAGTAATGCAGTGTTACCATAAGTGTGTCCATTTATTAGAAAAAAAAAATTTCAAAAACTTGTTAACAGAGAATATTCACACGAAGAAACAAAAAAAATGCTGGCAACTCACATTTTCTTTCTTTGTGTGCTAGTTCTTACTTTCTTATATTCACGTGAATATGAGTTCTAATCCTAAATTCTGATGATTATTTGTGCAGAAACTCATATGTTGGCAACCATTCCATTTTCTATGAAATTGAAGAGAAGCTTCAGCAGGTGCATATTCTCAGTATTCAGCTTATTTTCTTTGTGGGGTTAACAACTATACATTGCTGAATTGTGAAACACTTACTTTCTAGAAGCAAAGTTAGACTAAACTTCCTCCTTGTTTTGTTGGACATATATATGTTTAAGTACTTCAGAAAACAATGTCAGAGAACTGATAAGGAGTGATGGTCTGAAGGGTTCCTACCAGTCAGTTTCTTGCATGGGCTATCAAAATAGTAACTGTTTTTCAGTAGAATGCAATACAATGCAATAACTTTGTATTGGTGCCGTATATCACATTTATAGTTGACCAGTAGTTGTCTCAATTTTTTTTGTGGTATGATTTTGGTGGTACTGTGGTATGCACTATGCAGACGCCATATCATCTTGATTAGTTTACACATGGAGGTGACTCGTGATGTAATGCAATTGGATTATGCATGCAGGGTCACAACATCTTTTTGATATCAAACCACCAAACTGAAGCAGATCCAGCTGTCATTGCCTTGTTGCTTGAATCAACAAACCCACATCTCGCTGAGAAAATGGTGAATTGCAATGTTCTGTCTTCATTCTAAGCATACATTGGATGCATACACTATTTTGTGCACTTACAACTGTTTGCATAACCAAATTTTAGACTTTGTAGTTTTGTACTGCAGACCTACATAGCAGGAGATAGGGTTGTGACAGATCCTCTTTGTAAGCCCTTCAGCATGGGGAGGTACTTGTGAATTCTTGGATAATGTTATGCAATTAGTATGCACCTATGTGCTTTGATTAGTTAAATGATGAAATTCTCATCATTTTTTCTTTTAATATTCTTACAGGAATCTGATATGTGTATACTCCAAAAAGCACATGAATGATGTTCCTGAGCTTGCTGATATGAAAAGGAAAGCAAACACACGGAGCTTGAAGGAAATGGCAGTGCTATTGAGGTACCTCAATTATTTTGTTTGTCTATGCAGTGTCAAAGTTGGTTTCATTGTCAAAGTTGGTTTCATTTTATTGGCGGCTCTTCTTATTTCTGCTTATCAAGGTCTGACGGTGTTACTACCATGTCAGGTCCTGTGCAGAAAGATTTTTTTTCCTTTTTCTTTTTTGCATTGTTTTTGTGTTCTTGGACCTATCTCTCCCTCTTTCATATCTTTTTTCTGTTTTATTTGCTCTTACCTTTTGGAAGACTTGGCGCAAAACTGAGCATAGTGGCGTTCTATGATTCTTACAGCCGACCCCTCTTATTGGGATAAGGCTTTGTTGGTGTTGTTGTATTTGCTCTTACATCTTGCTCAGTTCTTGTCTCATTGAACCCTATTAAGCACTACACATCTCAGAACTAACCAATTTGTTTGAAGTGAATCTTCTTGTTGTTATAGCTAGTAACAAACTGGTGATAAGGGAGCTAAGCTGATTTTCCTTGTTAGCGTACAAAAATGCATATCAAGTTAACAAGTCAAGGAAGCACTCACCCTTTTTTCTCCATTCATCATTCTTGTGCTAATGGACATGGAAATTTGATTTTACTTGTTGCATTAAAAATGCATAGCAACTCAAGGAAGTGCTCCTCTTTTTCTCATTTCATTCATCCTTCTAGTACTTAATCAACACCTACTTGGTTTTTTATACTAGTATGTCAACTCAAAATGGAGTACTTGTCATACTTTGAGTCGAGGATACTATTAAAACTGAAAAAAAATTCGTTTTAGGTGCTAGACTGAGAGAGCAAGGGCTCGTTTGTGCCTAGGATTGGAAATCTCACTAGATTCCATGTATGTTGAAGGAAGAAATGGATGCCAACTTGTAAAGCTTGTCGAAATTGAAGGTAGAAGTCGCATTAGTCATGAAGGAAACTTCTCATTCCCAATTCTAACCTTTATGTGGGGATTTGAAGGGATAAGTATACTTCTTTACTAATCCATCTTGTACTTTTAACTTGTACAATATGCAAGTCGTCACCTATTTCTTCATTCAACATTCATGAACCTAGCGAGTTTTCCAATCCAAACTAGTCCTCGAGACCAAATTAGGCCTGAAGGTTCAACATTGTAACAAATGCTTACCTTTAGGTCTTCACTGGTGGTGGGTTTGCTAATCAGGGTGGGGGATGATCTCTCTAATTTCAATTACTGGTAAAGGAATAATATGCATTTAATCACAATATTAGTGGACTGTCCACTCTTTATGTAATTTTATTGTTTTCTGAAATAAAATTTGTGTCTCTTTAAGAAAAAAAGGGTCAAGTTGAACTTCTTTATCTCTGTTTGTTCTTGTATTATTTTTTTTTCTAGGACACATGCTAGATTCCTACTAGAATGAGAAAATCAGTGCATGCTAGATTCCTACCTGAATGAGAAAATCAGTTTTTCCTCTCTATCCTAAGTGATTTCAGATTAGGTTTCCGTTAGGATTTTGGCTCGTCAAATATGTCCTAATTGGTTTAGGATTGTTTTAGGAAAATTAGAGGTATAAAGATTCTTGTCTTAGAGGGATTAGGAAAGAATTTCAGTTTTCCTCATTCAATTTAGGTTTGCATTTCTAGAAGTCTATTTGGATTTGGATAAGTGTAATTTCCTAGTCCACTTAGAAATAGGAATTCAATCAGCCTTGGGACATGTAAGCCGACCCTATGCCTACAAATAGGGTGCGGCAATGCTTAATTTTTAGAGAGAAAACAGCCAGAGACAGCCGAGAGTTTTGAGATTAGTTCTAGGGTTTGCAAAAGTTCTGTAATCTCTATTATTAATCAAAGGAGCAATTATTTCTCTACCTAGAGAAATCACAACTGGACGTAGGCAAAAGTTCTGCTGAACCAGTATAATTCTTGTGTGTTTCTAAGTTTTTCTATATTTGCTAGTTTAGTCTTTTGCCATTGGTTACATTAAAGAACAAGGTCTAGTGGGCGTGTTTTTCAACAGTTTCTAACCCACAACCTTTTTTCTGTAAAGTCTTGATAAGAGTTCTTAAAATATAGTGAGCACACAAGGGGTAGTGAACTAAAGAGAGTGATAGAGAGATCGAAAGCTAGGGTTTGGGGATTAGCATAGGAATTTCAGAAATTTTTTGTAATAAATTATTCTTCTTGATAGTGCAAGTGATTCTCTCTCGAGAGATCACACGGGGACGTAGTAAAAGTTAGCCATCTCGATAACAATTTTTCTTGTGATTATGTGAGGCGGTGTTTAGTTTATTGTTTCCGTTTACTCACATATCATCATCCAAGCTGTTTGCATAACATCATAATCCATCAAAAAGCAAGATCAAGAAGGGCATTAAAATTTGACAATTTTCTTTTCTTAAAAAACTTACTCTTTTAATGTGATGAATTTGTTTACCTATGTTTTCTTAATATAGCCTTCTAATTTAACATGTTTTTATAGGGGCGGGTCACAGATTGTATGGATTGCACCTAGTGGTGGAAGGGACCGGCCAGATCCTGCAACAGGAGAATGGTACCCGGTAAGCTCTTTCAACTTCATCATGTACGAGAAGATTGAGAAGGAAATCATGTATTTTCATTGTTGATGTTTAATATTTTTTATTTTTCGAGCTTTCTTTTTGTTAAATGTTTTGATCTGTATGAGGAGATTCAATGTTCTGATGATGATTTTTATCTTGCAATTGTCTCTCCAGTGTTGCCACATGAGGGGTCTTAAAGTTGCATCTATATGTTCTAGTTGTAATTGTGAATTTAGGTCCAGCAAACCCGACTGCGTAGGTGTAAAATCAAAGGAGTTCTTTGGTTCATCATGGATAGAATAGGGACTCAACAGCTCTAGAGGAAATCATAAATAGATTGAGGATGATTTCGAAATATTTTCTGTTTTCTGTGTCTGTTGAAATAAATTACTGTTTTAAGCATTTACTAAATTTGACCTCAACTTGGTTGTATTCTAATTGAGGAGTTGGGCTTCCATAAAACGAAGATTGGCTACAATTTGAGATCACGTTGACATAATGTTCCACTATAACCAAGAATTTACCAATATAGATAAGCATCCACCTATCTTGACAAGGATTTTGAGTTGATGGTGCAATGACTTGATACTAACAATCTAACATACATGCGAACACATAGACATAAGTGTAAGTGTTGTCTTCATGATTCAAACTTCATACTGATATAAGTTGGTCAGGCACCTTTTGATGCTGCTTCACTGGACAATCTAAGAAGGCTTGGTGAACATTCTGCTGCACCAGGGCATATATATCCCTTAGCATTGTTGTGTCACAACATCATGCCCCCTCCACCGCAGGTTTGTCAGCTCTGTTTTGGTGGTTCCTGTATTGCTACTTTTCCGCATTAGTGACACAATTCTTTTCCAGGTAGAAAAAGAAATTGGAGAAAGGAGAATGATCTCCTTCCATGGTACTGGATTATCGGTTGCACCAGAAATCACCTTCTCTGATATTACTGCTTCCTGTCAAAATTCTGAAGAGGTTGGTTCTCTAAACAATGTCTTTCAACTTCCTGATTGATTTGGACGGTTCCTGTTGTATTCTTTCGGATCTTTACATTATTCTGCAATGAAAGCTCATGTGTAATTATGTTCTGGATCTGAGACTTAGCATTGCATTTTAAATCATGTCATGATACCGTTTGATAAACTGCTGAATCATGTGGAAGAACTAGTTCCGCCTATTCAGTGGTGATGAACATTGGCATTTAACTAATACAGTCGTTTCCTTAGTCAACAATTATGTGAAACTGTATGCAAAGGTAGTTTAGTGTAGGGGTATACTATATAGAAATCTATACATATGTATATATATATATATATATATTTCATTCATACGAGAAAAAGTCTTGAAAGCTAATGTTCAAGGACTGGGAAAGTCATTTCCATTGATTTCTAATTGTTAAGAGTAAATTTCACCTTTATTCCCTGAATTTTGAGTTTTGTTGACTCTGGTTGCTGGACTTAAAACTTTCGAAATGGGCTTAACTGAGACACATACTATGGGGACCAAACGTTTTGAAGTTGAGGGACCAAAGTTCAGCGTGCAAAATTGACATCTACTCTAAATGTTTTTTTTTTTTTTTTTTTGGTAACTTCATCGTTTTTCTTTTATCTTGTTTCTAAGTATTCTGGCTGTTCTATGTTGCAGGCTAGGGAGGTATACTCACAAGCTCTGTATGGTATTGTTACGGAACATTACAATGTGCTGAAAGCTGCTATACATTACGAACAAGGACTAAACGCATCCACTCCAAATGTTTCTTTGTCACAACCATGGAGTTAGTCCATCTTTAAGCAGATTGCCTTCCTACTTTGCTTTCATAATCAGGTACTTTCTTGGATCCTAAATTTTCGGTTCAAATCAGAAGCATGGGAATAACTCCACATTCAACTTACAAGAAAGAACATATCAATCAGAATTAAAATGAACTAACACAACTCACTTCAGCACAGCAACCCAGTCCAACATAATCGATGACATGATATTAGTAACTGGAGCCTCAATGAACCAACGAGAATCTGACTGTCCCAAAGTACATCCATCCCAAAAATCTGACTGTCCCAATGTAAATCCATCCCAACCCCATTTTAGTTCTCAAAGTTCTGTTACGCTCCAAAACTGCCAAGGGGGTAGCATTTATTAATTTTTTCTGTTCAGTTTGGTAAAATTGATCGGAATTTTGTTTTTCTTTCCAGAAAGGGTAGTATCTACCATCGTATCTATTTTGATTATTGGTAGTTATCAGTTGTGTGACTGCTGAAACGCATGTAAAAAGCTTTTCATTCTGTTTGTGTAAAACATTGTGGCTCGTTCTTAAATGAAAAAAAAAATATGTTGACTAGCAGCCATGTTTTACAGGGTTCAAGAGTATCTTGTGCGTGAAAACCCAAATAAAGAATCTTGAAAATCATAGAATTGTATGCAGAAATAGTTATCACTTTCGGGGTTTTGTTTCTGCTGTCATTAGCTCACTAATATGAATTCCTATGTTGACTAGAGTGCTTTTGTTATGAAATTTGCGCTCTTGGGGCGGCAATTGAATTTAATGGTCATTTTCTTTTGTGAACTAGATTTGATTGAATCTCGCAGGTTAGGACTTTACCTTAATTTTGCAACTCCTGACCAAAAGTTGACTGGTATACCAACAATCCACTATGCCAACAAGATCAAATTGAAGCTGATGACCGACCAGAGTGTAAGTTCACCACCATCTGAAATCGATGGATTCTTTTTGTGCATATGGTTTTTCGGCAAGAGCTGAATTCTTCTTCAAATGGAGCTGTCTCGCAAGGGTCAGTTTTAGGTGTATACTGTGCAGATGAAGCCAGTTGTTGACTAGCCATGTAAATCAAACCTCAATTTCTTTCTAGTAGTAGATGTTGAATCAATTTCTTTGTAGTACTTCTTCGACACCTGAGAAGTCTTACATTTTAAAGGAGAAACCTTTCTAGCCAAGATGACTGCCATGGAAGCAATTTTGCGTCTAGTGTTTAAAATTTTCATGGATCGATATCTGGGAACTCTTAATCTGCACCAAGAAGTACCCTCATGAAGAGGCTGTGGTTGCCCCTCTCCTAGCAGCCAAAGCTGCGAGTTCGGGAAGCAACTCGTGTGACAGGGCCTGTTGCAGCAGCAAGAGAACCCCCATTGTATTGTCTTATGAGCACACCAAATGCTCCTTTAACATCGTGGAAACCTCCATCAAAATTGACCTTCAGCCACCCGTCTTGTAGTATTAATCTCCCGCACATTATTTTTCACCATAATCCCCAAGCCACGAGAGATTATTCCCCTCTTTGTCATAAGAGGGATTAGTCCTCTCTTTCCACAACGACGATGGTAACATAAGAAAGAAACCCCTCTTTTGGGAGATCAATTGATAGCAGGAATACATATTCCTATGCGCTGGAATGACATGCTACAACTCAAATACCCAATGGGATGGCAAGCAAGACAGGTGTAGCTTTAGCATAATCACGCAAGGGCGACCTGACAGAGAACAACTCTTAGGGAACAAATACACATTGCCACATGACGTTCTGCGCTAATGAAACAATGAAATTTAAAAAAAAACTTACCCGTCTTTATTTTATTGGCACCTGACACCACCTTGGAAGTGTACTCGTTAGACATGTTAATGGGTTGGATTCGAATCGAATCAACCTTAACCCATCTCCACATCCATTTAAAATCGGATTCAAATCTAATTCAAATAATAAAAATAAGTATCGATCCATGTCCTTTTAATTTCATTTGATTCGGATGGGATCCGGTTCAAAACCTGATCTATTGACAGGTACTCGTGGCGTACAAGTCTTTCTCTATAACAGACTCACCATAAATGCATGATAGCTTAGTAGATCACGGCGACAAACAACTGTCTCAAGTGGGCAAGATATTATGATGGATCACCATCCGAACTTGAAAGGGCAATGTTTCCCTTGTCGAATAAGCAGCAGCTCATAGTGTAAATGGGCATTCTTTGGGTGCTGGGGATGTAGGGTTTCAAAATGGCATCCAACCAGTAACTATAACGACCCATTTGCAAGAGCAGAGCTCAACCGAGCGGAACGTGCATAAAGGAGTCAAATGCTTATATTATTTTCCTTGGTGCAGCTGAGCCATCATGGACTTGAACCAGAGGCCTCGCCCGTGAAGTAAATCATAGCACCTACACTCCAACCAATTGGGAGAATCAATAAATTCCTTTTTGGGAGCGATTCATTCTTCCAGCTGGCCTAAAATTTCTTCACCGATAGCCCTATTTGGAACTCGGACATAGTTTAGGGTTTCATTTGAACCACAAGGTTAGAGGAGGGGTCATTGAATTTGGAATTTTACACGAGAAACAAAAATCCAGCATTTTATATAGAGAAGTGAATGAAACAAATGGGAGAACAGCATGAATAAAGGGCAAATATTTTGCAACTGTAGCCATAAATTTGACAAGCCAATGACTCCCACGAGCTCAAGTATGCGCAGCAAAATGCAGAGCATGTAGCATCCGTAACCGACAAAATTGACCATCAGATGAAGAAAACAAAAACACGATATCTGAAACTCTTATTCGACAAAATACATAACACTCGTACCAATCAATCTCTGTTGAGGGGGCGCCCGCGGAATCTTTCTCCCTACTTCAATGTTGAAAATACGTGTTCCTTTACTGCCTTTTGATAAAAACTCGCTACATCAAAACACTCACATAAAATCATAATCATCGAGTGGATCATAGCCCTCAACAGCTATATCATCATCCGCCTTATCAACTATTAGCTGCTTTTTCTTGGCACCTGAAAACAAGGAAAGCAATTAACAAACACCGAGAGAAACCATATCATCAACAAATGTTCGTTCACCTCTCTAACATTAAGTTTTTTAATGTTTATCGATGAAGAGATCATGGTTCCGCACTAAAATAATTCTAACAGGGAGTAGTGAACAAGTATTGAGGCTCTACTAAGGAACTTAAGCCTAACACAGATGCAACACTCGACTACAAGTTTTCAAAATGGGTGAAGTGGTCAATTTTTAACGCAGACAATTTTTAATATGAGGTTTTCAGATTGCTTTTAACAGCTGTGGAAAGTTTTTGTTCCAAACCCGTGGACAATTTTGATTGGGTGATGTGTGACATGTGTCTGTTGGGCTTCACAAGCGGACAAACCTGCTCTGAATAACATAAAGGAAGTTGGGGTTCCACCCTAAAGCCAATTGGCAATAGGGGGAGTAATCCAACTTATAAGCCCTCGCAAGGTTCCTTAACTCTCTGATGCAGGATACTTTTCAGACTTAAAACGAATACCACTTGGTAAAGATAAAGGCCATAACTATGTTGCTCTACATAAGCATCGAAAATAGCACTAACAAAATTCCTCTATTTCTTATTTTCTTTTTTCAGTTGAATATATTTTTTGAGGATAGAATGGGAAAAGAAAGGAATTGATTGGTATGAGACTCAAAGATCCAAAGTGGATTGCATTGTCATACCTTCAACTCTGATAATATAAACCATAGCTATTTGGGCACCTACACCTAAACTGGAAAGCTCAGGGCCTGCTTTGACCAGTAACCTCAACAAGTCTTCTGAACCAAATGTGCAAGGCATTTTTTAACATGTTAGTTTTACTTGGTGGTGACACCTACACCTGAAACGGAAAGCACAGGGGCTGCATTGACCAATACCCTAAACAAGTTTTCTGAATCAAACTTGCAAGGCATTTTTAACACATTGCTTTCACTTACGGAAAGCACAGGGATTGCTTTGACCAATACCCTAAACAAGTTTTCTGAATCAAACACGCAAAGGCATTTTTTAAACACGTTAGTTTCTCAGTTCCACAATACTAAGAGCTTCCGGCTGATGCTTCTCAACACAAACCCAATATAATTCCTTATTCCTTTTCCTTTCTTCACATATAGGACATTAATTTGGTTTTCAAGTGGATGAAAAATCATAAATAAAACTAAAATGAAGCATGAGACATTCAACTCTTAGCAAAGAATGAAATAAGCAAAGACACACACCTGTTTTCTTTTTGCCAGCATTTGCTTCCTTCTCTGCTTTTATCTTCTCATTTGCAATTGCCGTAATGGAAGATGCAACTTCTTTCGCATCTGCTCCTTTCAACGAAGTCATTGACAGTCTCATTACTGCCTTGAGTAGACCAATATAATGGAAACTTTTCTGCAAATAAATTTTAAAAAATTATGTACCTGAAATTCTCGACGTTTGTTAAACGGGTAGGAAAAATTAACACACCTCAAATGGACGAAGTTTATGCGAAATAAGTTCTGCATATTCCAGGAAGTCATTTTCGGATTTCGGAATGAAATTGTCAATGTTTTTTTCATTGCCTCCACTGGAAAACAACTCTTTAGTGGACTTATAATCTGCTTCTTCCACCAGCCTGTGGAGTAGAGAAAAGCTTTAGTAAGAACACTAGTGACCAAAAGCTAACGCAGTCAACATGTAATTGTTAGTCAAATGTACCGAACCATGTTCTCAAGGAGAATGATTAACTCTAAATCAACTGGGTCTATCATCCAAAGGATAGGCATAGACAAAAATAAAAAATAAAAACCGAATAAAGGCCAGTCCCCACAGTTGCACCAATAAACAATATAATTAAAAAAAACCTAGAGTTGTGCTGATTGGGCTGAGAAGCATCATTCAGAATACGGTTACAACAGAACACTAACTATTCACATTATAAACCAAAGTTGAATAAACTATCTGTTTGAGAAATTTTTATCAAGCCATGGTTATTTAATTTTACTTCCAAATTTCAGTATGCAAAACTCGAAGTACTGAAGAGATTACATAGCCGCTACTTCCACCAAAGGATCCCAATAAGTACAATTTTGGGAATAATAGTACCTAAAAAAAAATAGAACAAGGGTTTCAGTTAACTGACACAATGAACTACATAGCGAAGATGAAAGTTCCCACAAACTAATTGACTAAGGTACTTATCTTATTGTTTGGTTGGTTAAATTGAATTGGGCTCTTCGAGTAAGTCACCAAAGCATTTTAAAAACTATGAAGTTGAGGTTGGCTTTCAAACTGGATGTTTCTATTGATGATTCATTTTGACTTGTAAAATGTTGTGATCCTTATTTAAATTAACATAAAATTTAGTCCGGCTTCTTAATCGAGGGCAGCACCAAATGCCTGACTAAATTCTTTATAACAGTCAGTACTATAAGACGTAGATCACTACTTTCCGACGGAAATTAGTCAGTGCAAAATACCAAACGAGGCCTAAATGTTAACTCTCACCTTTGTTGGAGAAGTTTCTCAGCCACAGGATCCAGTGGCTCTTCCTTTTCTACTTCAACGGTTTTTCCCTTCTTTTCTGTAGCTTTTGCAGCAGGTTTTGTTGCAGGTTTCTTAGGTGCCTTCTCAGCAACAGGCTTTGCTGCAGGTTCCTGGCCACCATAAAAAAAAGCAGATTATCAAGATTAATCATTATCATAAAATAAATAATAGATTTTTTCAGTAGAACAAGTGTGAAAACAAAAAAGCCATCAATATGGTGCATGCGGTTTGTGGACAAAGCCTCCAAGGTTAATGACTGCGAAACTACTTGCTGTGGTTTGTGGACAAATTGAAAATACACACACAGCAACAACCGTGGCAACCAGATGGAAACCAAACGAAACCAATTCTAACGGATCCCGATTCGTTTGGTTCTGTTACAACGGTTGTATTTTGCTTCATCCAACTTGAACAAACTATCCTGCAGAGGTTTCCTTGGCGACCATAGGGGTAGCACTGCAGGCTGAACTTACCAGTTCGGCTTTAGGGCTCCCACCCCAAAGGCAACACACATAAACAAAAACCCTTGGTATTGTCTTAACCAGTCACAACATTTTTTTACCATTTGTATATAACTCGTTGGAATACTGAGATTTAAACCCGACCATATAACATGATGATCCAGAACCTATTC